GAAGAGAACAGAGTCTGTGGAGTATAGGCCAGTGAACCTGACTTTGGTTCCTGTGAGAAGTCTTGAATGAATGAAAAGGTATTTATTGAGCACTTGCTATGTTCAAAGCACTGTGCTAAGTGCTAGGGATACAGGGAACTCACATTCTAACAAGAGGAGGTTATAGGTATAGGAGGTTTCAGCTGCAAATCAGATGAAACGGTGTTGCTATTGTAAAGCAAATGGTAATGTATCTTCTTTAATGTCATTTAGATTAATAAAACAGTACTAGTTTCAAATGATGAATTATTTAAGTGTTCCAAGGACTATCTTTAATACCTGTGGCTGCTGAGGAAGCTGGATCTGCAGCATCTGCAAAGGAAGTCATCAAGTAACATTTGTATAAGGGTTGCTTTACTGGACCATGGCTTTGCGGCAAAGCTAGAAGCAGGACTTGTGATCTGGGGCAGGGTATGCTTTTTCACTGGGCCTACCTGCTCATCAGGGGCAATTGGTTGTCCATTGGTGAAGGTCATGGCATGGATAGTTCTCCACAAATGTTGCTCCCTTGGGTATGGTTATAAAGGCTAAGAGGAAAGCAGGATTAGTAGTCCAGGGAGCACTGCTATTTCCTGGGCTTTTGGTATCAGGGTCCTGGGCTGTTTCCACCAAGGATCTGAAGAGATATGGTATTCAAGGCAGCTTGACTCAACAGCTTGCGTCATTTCCTATCTTTGCCTCAGAGTGCCTTCTGCTCCACTCCACCCTACACCATGCCTCCCCCCATTTGTACTTGTGAGTTTGAGTTTTCGATCCCAAATAAATTGCACCACTTTAGATTCATACCAATACTAGAGCCTGTCAAAATTTTGGGGGGGATCCTGTCATCAATTGGTAGCTATCCCTCCCTAGCTTTGTGCCATGTACAATTTTGATGAGTACGTCATCAAGCTGTTAAATTGATCTTCCAAAAATACAGTTCTGACTCCCTAATTGGTCAACTCCAATGGTTCTCCACCACGTCCAGGATCAAATATAAAACCCTCCGTTTGGCATTCAAAGCCCTTTCACATCCTACTTGTGCCCTACTGCCTTTCCAGTCTCCCTCCATCTTATTGCCATCCACATACTCTACATTCCAGTGATGCTGTCCCCTTGCTTTCTTTGAACAAGACACTACTTCTCCCAGTTCCTGGCATTTCTACCCCATGCCAGGAAGTCTCTCCCTTCTAATCTCTGTCTCCTGATATCCCTGGCTTCCTTCAGGTCTCAGCTAGTCTCAATCTTCTATGAGAAAGCTTTCCCAGTACTCATTAATCTTAGTGCCTTCTCTGGAGATTATCTCCAGTTAAGTTTGTATGTGTATCTTATACTGTACATAGTTTTTTGCATGTCGTTTTGTCTTCCCCATCACGCCGAGCTCCTTGAAAGTGAGGAGCAATTTTTTGGGGGGTGAGGGGTTTTCTTTGTATCCCTGGTACTTAGCACAGCACCTGACACATAGTAGGTTCTTAATAAATATTTATTGATTTGATTTGATTTATTGACTTCAGACTGGTTTGCTTGTCCCATTGGTGACAGTCTGTTAGCAACTGGTACTGGTAAGAGGGGCTGGGGGGGGATGGTAGACCTCTCCTCCACAAGTGTTACTCTCCTGAATGATGGCCATGGGGAACCAGGATGGAAGCAAGGCTTGTGGACTTAGCAACACAAATATTCCCAGGACTCTTGGGCTCAGGGCCCTGGACTGTATCTTGAAAGAGACAGTTAACATTTAGAAAAGGAAGCAGTGACGACAAAGAGCCCACATGGCTTCGTAAAGAACTTAACTCCTTTTTTGACCACGTTACTAAATTAGGAGGCTTGGGATTCTCTGCAGATATTATTTAATTGGATTTTAGTAAAGCATGTGCTAAGGATAGGAACTGGACCCCTATTTTCAGTGGTTTATAGAACTCCCGGAAAATCCTTTTTTCCAATGTAGATTAGTACCTTCTCTGCAACTTATAGCCTTAGAGAGTGGCCTATAGCACTTGGAAACTAAGCCAATGTGACTTGCACAAGGTCACACAGTCATTCTGTGTCAGAGGTAGTATTGGAACAGAAATGGGGCCCAGACCCACATATTCCTGGCTGAGGCTAGCTCTTTTGAAACTGTGGCCTTGAGGTCACATGTGGACCTCTCAGTCCTCGAGTGCAGCCCTTGGACTGAATCTAAACTGCACAGAACAAATCCCCTCAATAAAAGGGTTTATTCTGTAAAACTTAGACTCAGTCAAAAGGCCGCACCCAAGGACCTAGGAGGCCACATGTGACCTCAAAGCCCCAGGTTCCTCAGCCCTGCCTAGGCCATGCTTGCTGCCTTTTACACATTTGATAAAGAATCTTTTACCATTCTTGTGGAGAAGATGGAGAGAGGTAGACCTAATAATAGTACAATTAGATGGATTTGGGACTGGTTAACTGGCCGCATTCAAAGAGTGGTTGTTCGTGGTTTAATGGGGCTCAGTGTTCTGTGGCTGATCCTGTCTTGTTTAATATTTTCATTGGCCACTTGGATAAGGGTATAGATGGCATACTCATCAAATTTGCAGATGACACAAGGCTAGGGAGGGAGCGCTACCACTTGATGAAAGGATCCAAAAAAAGATCTTGACAGGCTCTAGTATTGTCATGAATCTAATAAGGTACAATTCATTTGAGAGAAATGTAAAGACTTGTGTTTGACTTCAAAAACCTTTGAGTACAAATTGGGGGAGGCATGCTTAAAGCTGTCTGAAAAAAAGCATGGCAGTTTTAGTGGAGTGCAAGCTCATTATGAGTCATCAGCGTGATGTGGTAACTCAAAAATTTAAATAAATCTTAGGCTACTTTAGGAGAAGCAGACCTCTAAGAGGTGGGAGGTGATAGACCATCTGTACTCTGCCCTGGGCAGACATTTAGAGTACTGTGTTCAGTTTGGGGCATGACAGTTTAGGAGGAACATTAATACACTAGAACAGGAGTGAGGAATCTGCAGCCTGGAGGCCACATGTGGCCCTCTAGATCCTCAAGTGTGGCCCTTAATAAAAGGATTTGTTCTGTAAAACTTGGATTCAGTCAACGGGCTGCACTTGAGGCCCTAGAGGGCCACATGTGGCCTCTAGGCTGCAGGTTCCCCACCCCTGCACTGGAGAGTATCCAGAGCCAAACAGGATAGCAAAAGGCCTTGAGTCTATGTTCTCTCATGAACAGCTGGAGGAGCTGGGGATGTTTAGCCTTGAGAAAAGAAGGCTCGAGGGATGTGAATAGCTGTCCTCAGTATTTGAAGGGCTGCGACGTGGAAGAGGCAGTAGGTCCTGTTAGGCTCCAGATAGCCAAACCTCGGGTAATGAGCAGAAGTGCAAAGAGGCAAATTTGGGCTCAATGTCAGGAAAAACTTCCTGATGATTAGGGCTGTCCCAAAGTGGAATGGGCTGCCTTGGAAGGAAGGAAACAACTGTTTAATGAGTGCCTACTATGTGTCAGGTACTGTGCTCCATTGGCACAGGGGAGAGAGCGCCAGGCCAGAAGTCCAAAATACTTATCTCTGTAAGTAAAAAAGACACTAGCTGTGTGACCCTGGGCAAGTCATTTAACTCTATTTGCCTTAGTTTCCTCATCTATAAAATGTGCTGGAGAAGGAAATGGCAAACCCCTCCAGGGTCTGCGCCGAGAAAACCCCAAATGGGGTCACAAAGAGTCAGACACAACTGAAAACAACAGGAACTGTGCTAAATGCTTTACAAATATCTAATTCTCACAACAACCCTGGGAAGTAGGTACCATTATCTCTTTTTTCAGTTGAGGAAACTGAGGCAGTTAGATGTGAAATGACTTGCCCAAGATCACACAGCTAGCTAAGAGTCTGAGACAGGATTTGAACTCAGGTCTTCCTGACTCTAGACCCAGTGTTCTACCACTGTGCCACCCAGCTGCCATTACCATGGGAGATAATGGACTCCCCTTCATTGCAGGTTTTTAATCCAGAGGCTGGATGATCATTTGTCACTATGGATTTGTTTTGGGGATGAGTTAGATGAGATGGTCACTGAAGTCCTTTCCAATCCTAAAATTTTACAATTCTCTTATTTTAGGTCTAGACCTTGTGAAAATTGTGAGAGAGGGGAAAAAAAAGTCATTTACTTTCAGTGTTCTGTTCTTCTCTTTCTGTGGCTGACCCGCAGGGCACCTCAGAGCCGTACTCTCAGATGAAGTATGTTTGTTTAATGTGGGACCGGTTTTCATTAGAGTCTGTCATTCCTAGATCTGGCCAGGTCAGGCCAGTTCCCAGAGTTCTTTGGGCTACCTACTAACAAACACAGATTACTAAGGCCCCTGTTTTTCCAGGAACACACCTACTAGCCAGTCTCCCTGAGCCAATCTCAGAGTGCTAGATCCTGGGAGAGGCACACAAACTCACCCCACAAGGTCAGAAAGCAGTATGATCCCAAAACACTGCAGGTGAAGAATTTCCAAGGTCACATAGTTCTGCTCGCACTTCACATCTGGGAAACTACATAGTTTTCATTGCAATAACTTATTTCAGAAACGTTGAGACAAGGAGCCTTAATAAGGTCACTGGAGGACACTGCTGGTGGTTCTTATAGCCTAGGATAACTGTCTTAAACAACAATCTTTTAAGGTTCAATTCAAATTCAAAGTCCACCTTCAAGCTCTCTTTCCCTTCTCCCACCCCATCCCTACTTTAGTATGTTTTTTTTCCCTCTTAGATCTTCCAAAGTTCTTTGTTTTGTACTTTTCTAATAAGAGGTGGTGTGATAGGGTAGAAAGTGAGCTGGAATTGTAGTCAGAAAAACCATGTTGAATTCTCTGACCTTGGTCCAGACCTTTCTGGAGGCCTCGGTCACTAGTGCCTAAAGCAGTACCTTCCAGTACCAAAATCTACAGTACTTTGGCATTATTTTGCATTACAGTCATATTTGCAAGTCTTATTACCCCGTTAGAATATACATTCCACAAGGACAGGCTTTTTGTCTTACCTAAACTTTGCACCTCATTTGGTAACCAGCGTGGTGTTCTGGGATCAGTAGGAACTTAACAAATGCCTTTTCAGTTTAATCTAATGGGTACTCATCCTAATTCTGTTACTTTGGCAGCTCCTTTTAAACTTTCACCTCTTCTCAGCCCCAGATTGTTTGAGAGCTAACTCTGTTTGAAGCACTTCCATGGTGGGCATGGCTTTTCTCAAGTGCATGAAGCTCTGTTTACTATCTGTCCAATGCCTGCGCGTGGGTGGGAGGGGAGAGTGTCTCCTACTTGTCTGTCAGGGGGCGTTTGCATTGTTGACACCAGGCATGAAGCCAGAGTCGGAAGTGGGAGGCATGCAGTCTCTTGTGCCAGATTCCAAGTTCCAGAACTGGAATAATTCAGAAGAACAAAGGTCAAGCCAGGTGACAAGACTACATCATTGCCCCACAAACAACAGGGAGACTGGCATGGAATGGACTGGTTCTTGAAGGTGTTACCTCTATCAAAAAGTCTGGGCAGTAGATCTGTGGAGTGGATGCTTCCAATGGCCTTAGCAATGGCAGCAGCCTTTATTAAAGCAGGGAGAAACTGCAGACTGGGCTGGTGTTTAGGATGGTTCTTTTTACTGCAGTGGAAGAACTGAGCTGTCGACAGGAAGGGAGAGCAAGGAAGCTCTTTGTGTCAGGGTATTTTGGCCCTATGGGTTTGGTTAGCGTGGCTGGTTTTCACAGTGTGTCATATTTTATGTTCCCTTGTGATGTTCATGTCACGGAGGAGGTCCTATGCATTGGGCCATTTTGCAAGCAGCCTGAGGTCCCGGGGGATCAGAAAATATTGAGGGTTTGGGTGATGACAACACTGTCTTGCAAGGTTAATAACAACTGGGTCCCTTTTAATATTTCCTGAGTTTTTCTCTAATCTTTTGGGGGCATATACTAAATACTTAATAACTGTTTGCTGATTAACTGAATGGGCTAACATTTTCTCCTCTGTAAATTAAGGAGGTTTGATGAGAGGACCTCCAAAGTCCCTTTCAGTTTCAAGAATTTATGATTCTGTAGTGGAACAGACCACCAGGCTTTTCCAATCCCTAATTTGTAGCTTTACATGGGTAAGAGAATTTTATTCTATCCTGGCTTTGCATGAGTAGTGTTGTAAAACAAAAGATGCCAAACTATAAAAATAAGATAACAACAGGGGAGAAAGCAAAGGCCCAGGGCCAAACCCACCTCGGGTTTGATCATTTTCACCCACATGCTCTCAAAGCTATCTGAGCTAAGATCTGCTTTGCAAACCTCCTATTCCAGTAAACATGGCTCATTTAAAACAAAAACTGGAAACGCACACATGTATCCACTGGAAAGAGTCCCAGGTCTAGAAGGGAATATGCATGAAATTAAGAGGAAAGTTAGGCATTAAAAGATCCTGTAGTTAGAATAATGGTTTACCTACATTTGAGCTCTATGCTCATATGCTTATCTGTTCAGCATTCACAGAGAACTTATGTCAGAAAATTCATCACTTGGCCAGTGTTATTAACAATATATTAAATTCTGTATGAAACTGAACCTATTGTGGGCAGGTTCTGCCCATCAGAAATCAGAAGTAGAAGCTGCCAGCATGCAGAGGAAAGTTATATCCAGGGATTCAACATAATAGAGTTCAATAAAGATTCACAGGATCATAGCTGTAGAGCTGGGACCTCAGGAGTCATTTCATCCTATCCCTTAATTTTTTTTTTCACCTTTTTGGTAAGGCAATCAGGGTTAAGTGATTTTCCCAGGGTCACACAGCTAGTAAGTATCATGTGTCTGAGGCCGGATTTGAACTCAGGTCCTCCTGACTCCAAGGCTAGAGCTTATCCACAGTATCCCCTAATTTGATAGTTGAAGAAAGTGAGGTCCATAGAAGTTAAGTCACTTGGTCAAGGTCATATAGGTTAGCCCTTTCTTGAGTCTACTGCCAGCTTTTCTCCACTGCCAGGGGTCATGCCTCTGGAAACTGTTTTCTCTCACTGATTACTAGATATATGCATGAGGGTGTACGTGTGTGTGTGCATGTGTGTGCGTATGTGCATGCTCACGTATAGTATATATCTCTGCTCCTTCACCTAGGACTCAAATTCTTCTGAACTAACTCTTTACATGATGGATGAGATGTCTTTCTTCTGGCCAAGTTGTGGCTACACCTACCACCAATCAGTGAGAAAAAAATCCTCTCACCTCCCTCTGCAAGGGTCTTTTCCACAAACTTCTGAGCCTGTCTTCCTCCCACTCTCCAAGGCTTAGGCTAGTCAAAGCCCCAAGGGTCCAGCTAATTTGCTTATATTTCATAAAGGAGTTGTGGGAAAACTCCTTAAGGCATCCTTAATACTCTTTCACACCTTATTGTAGAGTTCAAATACAAATTGCATTTTGAAAAAAAAAACGAGTTAATGGGAAATGAGTTTTGAACATGACAGAAATGTGGAGTTGAAGCTAGTCCTACAGAAAGAACTTATATAATCTTCTTGTTGATCCATTTACTCCCTAGCAGTATGACTTCCTGTCATCAGGAGGCAGAGGTATGAGGGGGATTCAGGTCCTGGTGAGACATTCGTCTGCACCCCGGCCCCATCAAGGACATGAAGGCATCCTGCTGTACCAGAGTGGGTGATCATTATCCATGGAATATTTCGAGAGGTGTGTGTCAGCACACATTTGTGATTCAAAGCTAGCCAGCACCCACCATTCTGCAGCAACAGCATGAAGTCCAATGCTGGGCAAATGTAAGGAAGAATGGGGTGTGGAATCCAAATGAGTGGGCTGATGCTGTCACAGTGGTCTTGGGGCATCTTGGGTTCCTTTCCTCTTGGGGAAGTTCTCTGCAGCTCTCTGAGGACTCCACTTCAAAAGGAGGCTCAGGAGGTATTCCACATACCCTTCACAAATACCTCCAGTGGGTGTGAGTCACGTTGGAGCTGACTTGGCAAGTAACACTTCAATGCTAAACCGGAAACCATGCCAGACCAAAGAGATGGAGTTGCTGATATCATGGACCCACTGGCATTCATGCATGTCCCTTCTTCCCTCCCTTCAATCCCCCAGAGCCCAACAGAGGCCACAGGGAGCTTGGAAACTTGGCAATCAGCATGCGGAATCTGATGGCTTTCTTATCACACCCTAATACTGGTATCATTGTATGAGGCAGGGTGATGGGTGACACTAAGACCAGATCTTCTGACTCCAAGTTTAGCATTCTTTCCAATACACCATGTTGCTCCATTTATACCTGCATGGGAAAATGCTGGTTCAGCAGTTTTACTTTTCCATTAAATGAATGAAAGGTCTGTTTTCCTTAAGTGCTGAGATGGCTATTACTTATCTGTGCATTTAAAAACAAACACAACACCTTAAATTCTATGCCAAGAGGGAAAAAAGATGCTTGGAGCTAGGACTAAAGCTTAGCTGCTGTTCTAGATTATGATGAAGGTAGTTGTAAAGCGGGGGTATAGTTGGAACCTTTGTTCTTGGGAAGCAAACAGCAGTGCCCCAGTCATGAGACTCATGGAACCTCAGAGAACCTAGAGGTCATCTAGCTCTTCTTTCCATCATTTTTCATTGGAATTCCTCCCTTCTCCTTCATCCCTGATAGGTAAAATGATCAGCCAGTCTCTGTGAAATCTCCCATTGCCTTTTCTAGATATTTCTAGATTCTAGGTCTTTCTTATACCCATTTTAGTTAGGTCCCCTCATCACCCATCACTTGGACAGTTGTGCCTGGTAGGATAATAGTTTGAGAGCAGGAACAGACCAGAGAAATCATCTACTCCAACCCTCTCCTCCCTTGCCCTTTATCTTTTTACAGATGAGGAAACTGAGGTCCAGTATCTTTTTTTTTTGAGGCAATCAGGGTTAGGTTACTTGTCCAGGGTCACATAGCTAGTAATTGTACAAGACCAGATTTGAATTCAAATCCTTTTAACTCTAGGGCCGGTGCTCTATCCACTGCACTATCTGACTGACCCTTGAGGCCCAGCTCTTTGGGAAATGACTTGCTCAGATTGAAAGCCAGGTGTCTCTGTTTATAAAGTTCTTTCCATAACAGAACACTTTCTCTTCCTCCCTAATTTCCCTGCCTCCAGTCTGTTGCTGTTAGTCATTTCAGTCATGTCCGACTCTTTGTGACCCCACTGGGTTTTCTTGGCAAATATACTGGAGGGGTTTGCCATTTCTTTCTCCAGCTCATTTTACAGATGAGAAACTGAGGAAAATAGGGTCAAATGACTTGCCCAAGGTCACACAGCTAGCAAGTATCTGAGGCTGAATTTGAACTTGGGTCCTTCCTGACTCCAGACCCAGCTCTCTATCCACTGCACCACCAAAACTGCCCTCCAGTCTATCCCCCTTCAATCAATCTTTAACAATCATCAAATTATATTCCATCTCAGATCTGAGACTATTATTCCTGCTCAAAAAACCTTTAGTAGCTCTCCACTGCTTACATAGTGATAACAACAAAAATAATAATAGCTAACATAATAATAATAGTTAACATTTATATAGTGCCTCCTATCTGTCAAGCACTGTGTATTATAACTTACAATTATTATTCCATTTGTTCTTCACGGCAACCCTGGGAGATAGGTGCTATTATGATCCCCATTTTACAGAGGAGGAAACCGAGGCAAACAGAGGTTAAGTGACTTTCCCAAGGTCACACAGCTCCTAAGTGTCTCAGGTCACATTTTCACTCAGGTCTTCCTTATTCCAGGCCCAGCACTTAGGCTTTCCAGACAGTCTAACCTCTTTAGCCTTGTCTCCCTCTGCTCTCCCATCTGTTCCTTGGGATCCAGCTAAACTGGACCTTCCCTGATTGCTTTCCTTTCTCTGGGCCTTTGCTCCCATTATTTTCTCCACCAGCAATGACCTTCCTGTCCATCTCATGCCATCTTCTTCACAAAACCTTCCTTGGCCATCCCTCATTGAAGGTGACATCACTTTTGCTGAGCCCCATGGAAGTTATCCCTGCTGACCTCTCACTTATCACATTCTGCCTTGTACGTTCATTGTGTATGTATCTTAGCCCTCCTTACTAACTTCTAAGTTCTATTATCTTATTCCCCATGTGTATCTGTAACAATGCTTTTCAGTGTTTTATACGTAGGTCCCCAGTAGATGTTTGTTGAATGATTGTGAATGGGCTAAGATGATCTGACAGCTGCCA